TAAGATCTAGCGAAAAAGTAACGGAACGTGGAATTAATCAAACTCTGGTAAAGACGCGCTTAATCTACGACATCGTTTTGTTAAAGACATTCCTTTAAAGAGTAGATACTTTACGTTCTTTTATATTTCTTTCAGTCTGAAATCAAAATTGTTCCGTTTGGAGGTAATACATTTCATAATAACAGACTCATACAAATAAATCGTTTATGACCAATTATCACATAAAATAGAAAGTACAATAAAAAATATAAAACGTTTACAAAACCACGTGAATAAACACAAATCGCATCCTCTTGTTTTAGACTTTTTCATTTCGTACAGTCGTGCTCCTGTGGTTATAGTGGTATATTAATTCTCTAGTATTAGCTTAATGTACATAAATAAGTGGTCTTTAACCAAATACAAATAGAGAAATAGTGAATACGTCCACTGTAACAAGGTTGCTAGTTATAAGCAACTAATTTATGGGCATTTTATGAAAAGGTAACTTTGTTATGACGACATTTGCTGAAAATTGCTTACAGCCAGCGATCGCGTTGGTACATCGAATGCATTTTTCTGGCATCTCCACGCTCGTATTAGTAAGCGAACTGGACTGTCTATCTAAATATCCTAACTTTCGTTGCTTGTTTGTTTGTTGGCTTTTCACGTCTCAACCGATCATTATAGAATTTTGTACGCCCATTGACAGGGGTACAGAATAGAATATAGGGTACCTATCATCCAGAAAACAATATTGTTCCAAAGGGATTGAAAAATTAGTTCCATGTGGTCGATTTGACGCCTTAACTATTCGATAGATCATCATGAAATTTTGTAGATACATTGCCAGAGATACAGAGTAGAGTATAGGATAGGCTTTTATTCCCAAGGGATAGAAAAAATAGTTTTTTTGGTCGTCGATGACCTTTAACATGTAATTAGGATATCAACGCGAGCTAGTACAAGAATGACTTATTACAAGTAAAACTTCTATCAACATTAAAAAAAATTCGTGATGTTAAATGAATAGTATGTGCGTTCGAAATGTGGTGTTATATGCGAATGATGAGGATAACGTGGATAGAAACGGTTAGAAATGAAGAGGTATTCGAAAGAATAGGAGAGCAGAGGGCTCTATGGTAGTCAATAAGAAATAGGCGAGATAGATTGGTAGGACACCTTCTCAGGCATGAAAGTCTAGTCAGAGACATATTAGAGGCAGAAACTGGAGTTAGGAGGGGTAGGGGTAGACCTAGATTAGATTACTGTTCGCAATTAGTTAAAGATATGGGTTGTTCTAGTTTTAGGGAAATGCGAAGATTAGCTCAGGATAGCAAAGTGTGGAGGTGCGTGTCCCACCAGTCTTAGGACTGACGACCTTATAATGATGATGACGTGCATATGTATGTACTTAGTCAATAATGTGTTGACAGGTCTCGGTTATGCAATTCTAAGACACATTCAGAAGTGTAGTGGGCCCAATAGTGGGCCGCCTCATATTTAAAAATCAACAGCGTTAATTGAAATTTAAATTCAGAATGCTACTTAAGACACATCAAATGTATTGCACAACATTATACCTATGTATATGTAATACTTGACATCAATGTCTACGAGGCCTATTAACACAGGCTTACAACCAATGTACCGCTATAAAGCTGAAAATTAATCTAATCGTAGAACGAAATGAAAGTACAAATACATATAAAGTTTTGAAAAGTTATGTATTTCCATTTTATGTAGAGTACTGTTTTAGGACCTGTTTAAAAACTGTTGTATGCTCTTTAAAAGAATTTAATTCATTTTTTCTTCAATTAAGAATTAAACAGACCACTTCTTATGTAGTCTATCTAATAACCAAAAAGTAAATTATTTTGTTTTCATCAATTTTTTTTTTTAAAATATTTGCTTTTTTGAGAATAACATGAAATATTCTACAAACTTACCAATTAATTAACTAAAGAAAAAAGTAAGTCAAACAACTAAGCCGAACCGATATCTAGACGAGTTAATCAAAAATAAGTTTTCTTATCGATCACACTGCTATAAATAATTGAGGTATGACAACAATTGTCTTGTCCCACCGTAACTTTGCGATCCTAATAAAAGCATTATACGGTAACATAGGTTAGGCTGGGTTAGGTTGCACTAGGAAAAGAGTTGTCATTGCTGTGTATTTCTTCTGTCTGATTTCAACAATGTGAACACAAAAAATTCTTGTTTTTGATTGATTTGTTTGATATCGGTTAGTTTTACATAGTTTAACTTTAACATAAAAAGGAAACTTGCCAACAAAGAAAAGTATAACATTTATGTTCAGTGAACTTTTTTCCTTATTTGTATGTGTGTATATTAAGGTAATTTCACTGGCAATGAAATTTATTTATTTTGGTACAAACAACGTAAACACAACTACTTTTTAAATTTGGGGAAATGTTTTGTTTTTGTAAAGCACGAAGAAAATCATGATATGTAACTCGTCACGTAGACTTTTTCCATTTTTCGTATTCGTCGTATGAAATCTATATACAAACAATTTTATTTATCTTGCCTATCTCAGAAGTAGCAACTAAAATAAAACAAATTTGTTTCGCGCCGCTAGAATATTACCTAAATACAAGCTTTATAATTTTTTATTCCAATGTAGATTCAATTAACATAAAATAAAAATTCTTTTTTTGTAACGTCAAACCAAAGGTAACCTTTATGTTGAAGTGTCCTGATTAACTTCCTACTAAGTAGGTAAATGATATGGCTTATCAAGAGGTTGTTATTTATGTCCTAATCTATAAGGTCAAACAACCTATTACAATGCTTACCTTCGTTGACGTTACAGGGTGTTCAAATCCCGGAACTTGTAAGACTATTCAGTTAACGAACTTTTAAAAACTGTAACAGTAAATTGATTAACCTTCGGTAAAAACAATGTTTTTGTTAAACTAATAACGAATTAGTTCATTGTAAGACATACACTCGATCGAAAGAGTACAATAACCATAACACATGCTAACTTAAGTAATCGTAAGATTACCTTTATGCGAAAACAATGTTTTTCGTAAATAAATAATTCACTATAAAAATTGGAAGAATTCGATTGTTATAATACACCTAATATTAATTTAACTAATGATAAGATTAACTTTATGTGAGAACAATGTTTTTGTTAAACAAATAAACAGTTAATGATTAAGTTGAAGATTCGGTTAGATGAATATGATTATTATTTTACAATTCTTATTAGAAAAACACGACAACGACAACAGTTCTAGTGCGTTAAGAATATACCAATGAATGAAAGAAATGAATTGTCAAATTCTGAAAGATTACAATTGTATTCTTTTATAGAAGTTGTAATAGGCAAACTATCCTATTGTATTTTGGTTAATGGGGACCCGTCAAATTGAAACCGCACAAGATTAATGTCACTTTGTTAATATCGACTTCATCCTACGCTATACCCTTACTTTAATTATTTTTCTACCGCTTTTTTCATCATAACTTTCCAATTTCCTGTAGTTTTTCTTTTAGCTTTTCATCTAAGTTTTCATGTGAGCCATATAACTAATGTATTATTTTTCCGGATCTTTTACCCGATATTATGTGTGGCGGATAACCGGCTAAACCCCTACGGTTAATGGTTCAAATTATGACAAACGACCTATCCCAATTCAATTTTAATTGTAGGTACCAATTTTCACTAGGTAGATTTTTTTGTTGTGCATTAAATTATTGTTGCTGGTGTTGATTTTTCTTTATTCTCTGGTAAAATTACCCAGCACGGCGTCGTTATTCGGTAACCGGCCGGTCCTAAAAGTGCCGAATCCGCCGGTACCGAATCCAAACCTTTTTTGTTAAAATCGACTTTATCCTGCGCTACGCTGCAAATGCTGGGTATGTTACAAAACGCGTGTTATCGCTACACACTTAAACACGTGTTATTTTTAGTTTTTGCGTGATGAGAACTATTTTCATTTTATCTATATACAGTATACGTTTTTATTTTCTTTATTATTTTTAAAGTTCTATGTTATTTTACAAATAAAGTTCTGCAATCAAGTATAGTGTGATAACTTAATTAGTTGATACCCTCCACTCAATACAACAGGTACTTATACCATTGTTCTAATAGAAGATAAATCTATAAGTTTTAATCAATAAATACTTATTATTTTCATGTGATTTTTACTGATTGATGTTGAAAATTAATATAGTAAAACGCGCCTACACGTGTCTTCTTAACACGTGTTACAGAATTCTATGATTCATCCAACACCCTTTTAAATAAAATATACACAGGTTAGAATAACACACTGTAGTGTGTTAAATATAACACACACGAAAGTGTGCTAAAAATGAGTACATCGGAATAAAACGTGACAGCGTTTGCAGTGTTGCAACGGAAATAAATAAGCGTATGTTCAGTAGTACGTTTTGAGTAGGTACGTTAATTTTTAAATGCATTTCAGGCCTATATCCTAAGAAAATTTGAATTAATCAGTAGGTAGGAAAGTTTTGCAACGGAAAACAAAAATGAATGTTGAGTTTCAGTGAAGTATCTAATAGGCTGCAGTAAATCTTCGGTATTATTGAAGGAAATTTTACTAGGTACCTATTTCAAATTATTGTAGACAACTTAGGAAACTATAAAACCTTCAGTGAAAAAGGTTAATATCTCTATTAATTTTATATGTGATTTGAGAAAGAGGAAACTGCCGATTATATTATTGTCAAATTCAAATACAGATATAATAGTATAATCAAGACCCTTCGTTCTGCGCCATGGATTTAAAAAACTTAACAAAAAAGGGATGAAGTATTTCCTGACAATTATCGTCGTCAATATTGAAATCCTTTCCAGGAGTTTAAGAAAGTGTCGGTATTTTCTGCTTTTCCCACTTCTTCGTCTGTAGTCGTTGTTCTTCTTGGGGAAATTTTTCGAATCTGGTTTTATCTGTTCGCAAACAACAATAATCATGTGATTTTTAGAAGCGTCCGGTATAAAACATTTACAATTTGATGGTGGGAGACCAGTTATTCAGCGGCTGTGAGATCGCGTACTTCAAAGTCTACCGTCTGCAAGTGGTATAGTGGTCGGTGGCTTCTACTCTTCAGATCTTCTTCAATCCCTCTGTTCTCGCTGGTGTCGTCGAGGATTTCCTTGACCCTGAACGCCGGGTCGGCCTTCAACTTCATTAATTCCGAGTACATACGTCGACTTTACCGATGCAATAACCCACTCTCTTCCACCAGATATTAAACGAAGCATCAGGTACAGGAACCGGTTAGTAGCTATTTTCAGATCTTCTCATTACCTTTGCTCATTTCGTCCCTCTTTTTATAGCACAATTTCCCAATTTAATTGACTACATAATAAAATTTCAAAAACGATTTTGTCGAATTTACTTGAAACAAAACTTCAATTAACTCGATGTTTATATGACGATGGCAAGAATAGTCCACGAAATGCTTGATAAGGGAGCATTTCTACGGTTTGTAAAATTTCTTTTCAATTCTTCCGGGTATCTGATTTTAAATAAGTACCAAATTTCAATCCTTTGAAGGAACTTGAATTATTTCGTTTGTAGTGTTTGTAATATTATCTGGCACGTTTAAGTACTTAACTTCATCGTAGACACCAATTTTTTTTTAGTTATCGATAATCAGTGAAGTTTTTATTTTTAACTTGTTTTTGTTTTTTTTTTATATATTTTGTGTATTAAGCGTTGATAATCTTAATTTAAGAACATATAGCCATTATTTTAGTTGTCAACAACGCCAATTTACTTTTTTTCTCTTTAAACAGTCACTGAAATACAGACAACGCTATTTTTTTTTTTGAGATATGAAAAGATATACCTACTGTTTCGTTAGCTGATATCTTTCTAAACGCTATATCAATTCTTAGGGTAATTGAAAAGCTTTGATACCATACAAGACAGTGATAGTCTTTACATTTGTTGATAACCGTAATTTATTTATAAGAATACAATTTAATTAAAAAAAATAATCAGATATTATCCGAAATAGGTATGTATCTACTAATATTTTTTAGTCCGTTGAATATCTCGAGACGGTTGAGAATTTTGGATAAAGGTGAAAATTTATACCTCGGTAATGGGAAACATTTAAAACGTTCGAGAAAGTCATAAAAGAACTTGAGCTAATTAACAATTGATTTAAACCATTAACAATTCACCGTAAATTTTGAGGCATAAAAATTCATACGCCTGAATTAGAAATTTAATGCGTTGTGTTTAGTAATAAATAATTGAAGCAGAATGTTTTTAAAGCATACACACGCTTAAAGACATATTAGAGGCAGAAACAGGAGTTAGGAAGGGTAGAGGTAGACCTAAGTTAGATTACTGTTCACAAATAGTTAAGGATGTGGGTTGTTCTAGTTTTGAGGAAATGAGAAGTTTGACTCAGAATAGGAAAGTATGGAGGTGCGTGTCCAACCAGTCTTAGGACTAACGACCCTATGATGATGATGATGACACACGCTCCTTAACAAATGAATTGAAACTTTTGATTGTTCTTTATATTCTTTTTTACTTCAGCCGGTAGTCATCATTTTATGAGAAAACTGTTAATAAAAACGCTATATAAAACCGCCAACTTCATTGCAAGTTTGTCACACAGTTAGTTACGAGCAGTTTATTTTTTATCTGATTATGACTGCATGCAATTGAGGAAGTTTGAAAATAACACTTAAAGCTACAAGGATACAATTGCGAAAACACACAATAGGCTGGCTGGTAAACTAGCTGTAGTTGTTTCATTTGATTTTCCTTAGGTAGAACAGTTTTCCATAAGACTGATTTTAACCTTGAATTACATTAAATATATCATCATAATCATAAGGTCTTTGGCTTGAAGATTAATTGGACACGCAATTCCACATCTCTAAATATTTGCCGTATATCTCTGCCTCTCTTTACTCCTGTATGTTGTTGTTTCCAGAAAAGCTATTTCTTATTGACTTCCTCTGTTCCCCTACTCTTTCTAATACTTTTTTATTTCTGACCTTTTCTATCCCCGGTCATTTTAACTTATTCCTACAACACCACATCTAACAAGTTTATAATACTCTTTTTTCTAAATTTCCAAATAAACCGTTTACGAACGTAAAAGTGGGCATATTCACTAGATATATGCAAAATAGATTTTTATTTCATTTAATTATTTAATATTTCAATAGTGGCACCACTATACAGTAAAAGTTCGCGTTTTCATTATTCGTGGGTCAAAAAAATTGCAACCCAGTTCCTGTATTCGCGGTTAAAAATTTCATTATTCGGGGTTGCAATCGGTAAACAAAAAGGATTCAGGGTCATTTATTAAGGGGATTGGCTGCAATAGACCTCTCGTGCCTCGTGTGAATTTTTCCGAAAACATGGGTTTCTATTCTATACATTGTAATTTAACGCTGCGAGATAAATATCTATTTTTTTGTATGCTAACAGACAAAGGTTCCCACTAACTCGGTACGTTTTTGGTTTTCAATAATATTGTCATTAAAAACTTTTAAAAGTGCTTAAAGTTGTTGTTTCTAGTAAGACACGTATTTTAAATAGAAATTAAAAAATGGCCTTAGACAAGCATTAGAACAAAGCTTTATCTATCTTACGACAAAATTTCAAACCTCTGTTACAAATATTAAACTCATGATATCTAGAACCGATAAGCATGTTTTTAATCTACGGCGCGTGTATTACTGAATCCTCTTAATGTATCAGCTTCTTTTGAGTTTGTACAGTAGGTACGTATCGAAGCGGCTTTTATAAATAATCTAACCGAGTAGAAAGGGATTTGGTGTTATTTTTCAACGTATTAGCATCTTTTGAGTACTATTAGCCCGTGCCGAGGCCACTTTTATAAAAGATGTAACCGAGTGGGCTAATTTCAAAATTTAAAACAAGAAAAAAATCACCAAATTTTTTAAACTCTTGCCTAAAGCTGATTAATTTTAATTGCGAATTTATCAATACATTGATTTTATTTTGATACATATTGGTTTTATTTTGGAATCTTAGAACGTATCCCTTATGATTCCATACTAATTACATTTCCATATCCACGGTTTCTGTATTCGCGGCATATTTATGGAACGTATACCCCGCGAATAAAGAGCTTTTACTGTAATTAATTTTTAGAAGCCAAAGTTAATTTTTTTAATAGGCCGTAATTATAACAATCTTGGGTGAATTTCATAAATAAATGTACAGGTTCATACAAATTTTCTTGGTTGATATGACATGGAAGGAAGATAGTGTGGAGAAAGGTGAGCTAGGATACTCTATAAATAATGAGAGAAGAGTTTGATTTAGCACTATAGCAGTAGACATCATATCTTCAGGCTAGTCAGCTACATTTGAGAGGACTACAAACGGAACATTCATACCAAAAAAGATAGCCGAGGATATATGCGAGAAATGTAGAACGATTAGCTTAACTTCCAATGCGTTAAAAAACTTAACTAGAATCATACAGGGAACGATGTAAAAAAGGGTGGAAGAGGGGAAGACCAATTTGTGTTTAGAAGAAACTGGGAGCACGGGAGGCCATTTTAGTTTTGTGGGTAACGAATAGAGAAAACGATAGGAAAAGGGCGCGTAGGTACATATACGATTCGTAAATTTAGAAAAAGTTATTTACAATGTTTATTATTTAAATTAAATCACTGTTCATAAATAATTAAAGATGTGGGTTGTTTTAGTTTTAGGAAAATGCAAATATTAGCTCAGGATAGGAAAGAATGGAGGTGCGTGTCCTGTCAGTCTCAAGAGTGACAACCCTGCGATGATGATGGTTATGATGATGATATAATATGAATTCTGTTTGCGAAGATGTTGACGTACTCTTCTAATGAATAGCATGTGACGTCTTCTAAACCAAAAAACTTGCAGAATTCAACTTTTTGAGATTTATTATCAAACCAGCTTATGTTAGGAAGTAGGCAGATATAAGAAAATTAGACATTTTATGAACCGTAGTTTTTAGAAAATGACTTGTAAAATATTAAAGTATGAGATATGATATGAAATAAGACATGTTCAGACATTTTACCACTTTGAGTTTTTATGCAGGCAAACACTTATTTATATGTATCTTCTAGTTCTGAAGAGCGTTCAATTTTGGACAAACTTAGCTAATGTTCTGATAATTATTCCTAAATTAACCTTCGTGCCGATATTAAAAATAATGTGTACGTGCAAAAACTGGTTTGTAACTACAGGTTTTGTACATATTTATGTATATGATGTGATGTTGAGAAACAGAATGTATAATTATCTATTATTAACTTTTTCGCTTAGAAAAAAGTGAAGAACTGCACAAAATTTAGTTTTGTCGAACAGAATTTCGTTTTAAAGTTATGAAACGTTAAAACACCACAGTACAATTTGAACGAAGACTAACAGAAATTGTATCGTTTAAAAACAAATAATTTAAATTCATGACACAATACGAGAATTTTATTTCTGTGATAGTCACTGTATGTAATACTGTAATGTCTGGATAATTTACATCCGCTTTAATTCAAACATTCGTGTAAGTAAATCAAATTACCTAATCGTATAAAAAAAACTCATAATCCGAATTTCTGTCTTGGATAATTCAAATTACTAATTCGAACTCCAATGTTAGTATCTGTTAGTGATTCTTGTAGTCAGTGGCACATATGCAGAACTTCTATTATTATTCTAATAAATGTTCACGCAAGTAACAGGGTTGGAAATGTATCTATCGATCGTCCATATTTCGATTTATAATATAGGACGTTATATTGGTATGGTTATTGTAAAAGTGCATACAGTGGTACATGTACACATTTGCCGAAAAATGTTCACATTTTCACCATACTAAGTTGATATCTACCTAAATGTGCTGCTTATCATTAATAGCTGGCACAAAACTGTAATTTTGAAGATTAGATTATGTTTGATAAGGATGTGCTTACTTGAAATTCAATCAGGAAAACTTTTCCAACTTTAACCTTCCCTTCCAGTTTACGATTTTATTCTGTTCTCGATATAAAAAAATCGGTTGTCTGTAAAGTCGGTTTACTGACGATAATTGAACGTGAAAGACGTGATAAGAAAATACTGATGGAATGGTTTCATATTTTAAAAGAAAATTTTAATTTTATTTGTTTGATAGATATTTTGTATGGATATAGAGAAGGAGGTAAATGGAAATGTATTATTGTATAGCAGCTGTCCACGCGGACGCATCGCTCACTCAAGTAGGAGAGAGACAGATGTTGAACGCTGCCGAACGCGGAGACCGATTGTGCCTCTTTGTCGCTCGTTCCGCGCTCTCGCTTGCACTTCAAGCCTTAAATGGAACGCCTCGGAGCGAGGTAACGCCGCATGAGTCATGTTTTTTCGTGCGTGCAGCCGGCTCCATCGAATTATAAGACGTTGTCACGTCAAAAAACAATTGGGGACATTCGTGTGGATAGGACAAGAGGGTGTAAAACTCTGAATGTGAAGGGCCAGTGGTGTTTTGGGCGTATATATAAATTAAGAAACAAATAAATGTAACTTACTGAAGTTATTAATTTTTTTAAAATCGTATTCCTTACACGAATGACTTTTTTAACTAAATCTGAGTATTGGGAACGGTATCGACTTTTACTGACAATGTCCATAAGGCGTGAGACGAAAATACTGGACGATGGACGCGCAATATGAATTAATTTTATAATATAGGAATGCGGGACTTGCGGGATGCATTTGAGGTTTTGAGGGACAGTTTTATTAATGACTGCGATATGGTATTACAGCTGGCATTATGGGAAGCCCTTAATTTCGAAAGCTTGTATAATTTTAACGCTTAGGTATATGTGTACGGACAAAGAGAGGACAAGAGAAAACTTTTTATGTGGCATATGCAACACTTCACTTTAATTTCAATATTATGTTTATCGTACGTGATTCAAAAGAGAAATTCGCTATTTGTGCATGTCATCTAAGTAACACTTTGTCTAAAATATTGCATTGTTTCTTCGGTCAGGTAAGGATAAGGCTTTCATTCAAAATAAGAAGTGTTGTAATCAATTACTTTCATATGCCATACAAAATCTAAACTTTAGTATTATTCATGTACTTTATAAGTTCTTTTAAACTTTCGTAAAATATAAATCCTGTGGATGGCATACGAGAATCAAAAGGAAATCTGTGCAACTAAACTAAATAATCGGTTTTTTAAACAATACCTATTAAATTCCCATTATAGAAAAGAAGATAACTAGATAAACATGTATAAAAAATGCCCCCTCTTCAATAATCTACAATCTTGTTTCAATGCATTATGTAAATACAATAACATAGTATAAATTTAGAACTTTCATTAATTTCATTTTGAAAACTTTGTTATTTTACAATATATCACAAAACCGAACAGATAAGTTTCTTATCGAAAACTGATCGATTTATCCAAACTAATCCCAAATTGCTACCTCAAGGGGCGTGTCTTAAGAAAATTAAAAAAAAATAGATGCAGCTTTTCAATTAAGTAATAAGCGGTAAAAATTAATTGGTTGAACTTTTAAGCGATCATTTAGAATTTTTGAAAATATGCCAATAAAATGAATTAGTTCTGCTATTTATTTCCTATTTTGAAAAAAAGAACCTGATTGTGATTTAATTATGATTAATCACATTATTAATTTTGGGAAGTAAAGAACATAAAGTTGAGAGAAAATATTTATTTAAAAAGTTTGAGAATTTTCATGAAAACGGAGTATTACTTCATGTTGTACAGTGCATATATTTCAATGAGAATCTAACCGAATTAAAAATTTTCAAAAGTTTCAGAAAATACTACAAACGGCACAGTGAACGCCATCTGTAGCACGATGCTACATTTTAGGATTACGTATTTTTCAACAAGGTCCACTTGTGTGGATATCTACTTGCTGAAAACGAATCCTGGCGTAGCCAACCTCAACGTGATAGGCACGTTAGCTTAATCGAATAAAATAATTCGAAGTGGTCTATATGAGATCCAAAAAGATCGAAATCGCGATCCGCGTTTGGCAGTTTCGACAGAATACAGACCACTTCGAATTATTTTAATTTTCAAAAGTATTTGGACCCCTTTCGAAAGTTAAATCATCATCTACCTACACATGTAACTGCTTACTTTCGGATTTATTACAAAAATTTAATAAAAAACGGAGTGTATACTTATGTGCAAGAAGTAGAAGTAATGTATATTTATTTAGCTAGGATATATGTATTTATTTAAACAATGTTTTCGATTAGAGTAAATTCAAAAGTAAAAGTCGTTATTTATACCAGGAAGTGATTGTATTAAGCACTCTACACAGGGTGTTGATAATATCGCATGTTTACAGAATTAAATTAAATTAAACTGCTACTACTATTGTTACTCCTATACAAACAACATTTACTTATTGTAATTTATTTATTAGCTGAAGGATGATAATTTAAAATATGAACATTGATTTTACGATGGATAATTACTACAACGTCATTATTTGCCTTACTTTTTAGACATATATATATCTACTAAAAAACTTGTTTGCTAAATAATTCGTTATATTTGTTTACGTCAATTGGAAAACTATTCGAGTGCAGCCGATGTCACTAGATGGTAGAAAAAGTTTTTCATTTGCAAAAATTACGTCAGTTTAACACTATCTTCATTAAATTACCTACATCGTTTAGGGTAATTTAACACTGGTGAACGTGATGATGTGTTAATAACCATAATAGTCCACCGAAAACATAATTTTGATCAAATATTTATTATCGGTATAATCGTGACTAAACGTATTATGTTTACAAAGCGTTTTGGTCTGGTAATTGAGTTGTCTTTTATACATGTATAGGTAATTACAAACTGACAAGTTATATGACAACAGAAAAATTACATAACTTCAAAATCATAGTTTAATTACTTTAAAGTATGATGAGAAGGGTGAAAGGTAAAGCAATATTGTCTGTAACCAATTCTGCGAATGATTATTACTTTATTTATAATCATCAATTAGTATTAAGGCTTTTTATTATAAATTTACATAATTGAGTAGGTACTTTATTGAAACAGAGTAATAAAAAGTCAATTTAGTGAATTTAATTTTAATTTTCATTTATATGTATTTACTTTACATCCCATATAACTTACGTACTATCCCTACCTACCCGTAAATGCAGTGGTTTTATTTTATTTACTTATATTGTGCGTATCGTTTTGTTTTAAGAAAGTATTAGTTTCAGTTTTTCTTTGTTTTCCTTGCAGAATAGAAGAGCAATTCTACCAACATGTCTAAAAGTGCCAGTGATCTAGTATGGGACTATTTAGTCTTTTTCATTTTCGTTATTGCCAGTACGTTTGTGGCAATTTATTCAAGATTCGTAGAAGGAAAACAGAAAACGAAAGCTGATTTCGTATTCGCCGCAGGAAGAGTTTCTATGGGAGCGATGATGATGAGCATCGCTCGGGGCACATTAGGAGTACGATCCGTTTTAGGTAAGAAAAGTCTACATATGTAATTTTATTTACAGAAATCTTCTTTATAACTATCTTGTTTCCTCTATGTAGGTACTTATGAATCCGGAATTAGTATTTTTGAAATTCGTTGGTACATGAGCCAAAAATACATTAAATTGCAGGTTTCGGTATTATAATACACTCAATAAAAAAGAGTGCGAGGCGATGGGACGCACAGCTTACGTTAGTGTAAATATGTAGCACGTAAGTCATAAAAATGTGTACTACATGTATTTTCGTGTAACTTTCTCCGTGATATTGCTTATTTCAAGGGTTCAAATACTGAACTGTCCGACCATAATTTTGAGGGGAGTGCAGGTAGGGTCCCTAAGTGGATAGCACACTACCCCTTATGGGCCCCATGAGGTTGCCCCTCTGGCAAGGAAAAAAATTAAAATTAATTGAGAAATATATTTTACTAATTAGAAACTGTTCACTTTTACATATGTAGCAACGGTATAATACATATTATTTCTTTACTTTCGTCATTAACATTAAGGTAAACCGTTTTTATCAACATCTATGATTTTACAGGTAGTAATATTTTCATTGTTTGCAGAAACTATAGGCACATTTCTAAATATTTAGCATCGCATGGATACGTATAAAAGGACTTTCTTTTTCGTAGTAGTTTTCCACAAATTTCAATATTTCCATTTGGAGGAATATATACATATATCACTTATTTGTAAAATTTGTTTGCTCTTAAGTAATATTGTGTTATTGAGCTCTTTTGTAGTCAATAATACTTTAAATTGCAATCGTTTTACTGTTGTTCCACTTGATGCGTCTGGTTTTAGTAGTCTTATAATAACAATATCAGGAAGTACACTTGTTGGTTCGTTGTAAAAGATTTCATTGAAACGACGACATAATTGGGCAAGGGGATTGTTACCACTTTTCATTTTAGCGAGGGTATTTTCAAACGGATTTGCCTCATTAAACCAACATAAGGTAGATTTAATTGTCAGTTTATACATGTGTAGGTTTGCCCTTGAAGACCTATATGAGAAACCCATTAGGCAATCCTCATTTTATTATCACCACTTTGTGGGATATTCATGAGGAAGTTACGGGGCATGCCCCTTATAAATTCTAGTCGGGTGTCTGCACTTGTTTATCCATTAATTTACTTATACCTACTTACTTATGGTAATGTTGTCTTTACGTTTAGTTGTTAGCAAAAGTATTTTTCTAATGTTTGAATACTTTCATAAATAGTCACTTGTTGTGTAGAAGTCATATGATTATGAATCGTACAATTGTTTACTATACATTTAAACATAATCAGCAATCACTTACATAAGTTAAGAGATATCTCCTGGTTAGCTAGGTCATTGCAACATCGCATTGCCACACAAAGACAACATGACTAATTGAATGTTCACATATTTTAAGAGTTTTATAAATTTGCTGCCTTTATTAATTACTTCATGTAGTTAACTTGTGTATAGGTAATAAACGATGAATAATGTTTTTTCAGATACACACGTAATGTACGTGTTAATTATGTATTGAAGTTAGGTATTTAATCTACTGTTTATTCTCATTCTTTTTCCATCTAAAGAAGTGTGGCGAAATAACTAACAGCTGATTCCCGTGACTTCGCTCATGTGGTTTAGCTACAGTACGTATTAATTAACTCGTGTAAAAATGATGCACGATATCGTTTACTTCACGTTGAGGTAGAAGTAGAAACTTCTTCCAGAGCATTACAACCGTTTAAGCCTTTAAGGTCACCGTAATCTTCATCATCACAAGGTCGTCAGTCCTAAGACACGCACCTCCGCTCTTTTCTATCCTGAGCTAATCTTCGCATTTCCTTAAATTAGAACAACCCATATCTTTAACTATTTGCGAACAGTAATCTAATCTAGTACCTCTACCCCTCCTAACTTCCGTTTCTGACTCTAATATGTCTCTGACTAGACCTTCATGCCTGAGAAGGTGTCCTAGCAACCTATTTCGCCTATTTCTTATTGATTTCCATAGAGTCCTCTATTCTCCTATTTTTTCTAATATCTTTCATTTCTAACCTCTATCCACGGTGTCCTCATCATTCGCCTGTAACATTACATTTCGAACGCTTCTAACTTCTTTTCTGCCGCGCCCACTGTCCATGTTTCGCACCCGTACAGCGCCGCGTGACAAACATACACCTTTAACAACCTTTTTAGAATTCTAAATTAACCGTTCGAGAACATGAAGTGACTTGTTTTTATTGAAAGCGACTCTACCCTGCACTATTCTCTGCTTTATATTCCTAGATATCTAAAATCGGCCACTTCTTCTAATTTTTCTATCTTTATATTCGTTTATTCCCTATTTTTTCTTCCCTTGCATATCAGCATTTTTGTTTTACTTATCGTAATCTTATGTGCTTTAATTTAATAACTTAAAATTAAATAGAAATATCGTGATTGCAAAGAAAGTTCAAGCATTTAAGAAATAAAACTGCATTACTTCAGCTCAATTCCTCGGTTGTGTGGATGGAATTGGGCAGGGCAGTGATACTGGCATGAACAGCACTAATATGGTGATACGCAAACCGAATCTAACGAAGAATATATTGTATTATGATCAGATAAAGTATTATTGCAGAAATTTTAGCAGAAGAAACTAAAAACTATTCAAAAGTTTGTTTTGTACAGTGCTTTTATCCAAAATTTACATGATACTATCAAGGAACTCATGTAATAGGGTAAATTTTACTATTACTTCTTAATTTAATCGATTTCTCAAGTATATATTTTAACTGATGTTTTGGTTTCGTTATATAATTATAATGTAGTGCCTTTAGGAACAAAACAAGTATAAATAAAAATGCAGACAGGCGGCTACTTTTCACTCGGTGTTTGATTGTAGTAACTTTAGATAATTAAAACTGGTAGCACAGATAAAGAAACTGAAAATGTCATAAAAGTATTTTCTTTTGAACCTTTCTATCGCTTTAATTAGTGTATGCAATTTGAGATAGCTTTGATAGTCGAGAGTGCGGTACTGATTCAAAGTAAATATTAAAATAACGATAACGAATCCGGAAATATCCAGCCGACTTGTTATGTATGGATTGCAATTTTTAATGAGGCTAAATGCCAACGAACGTGAAACATAAACAATGCCGATTTGGTGAGTAGTTTATAAGCACATGTGATTCTATTAATGCTATTAGGTACTTAAGATTAGCCTTGACTGGTGAAACAATAAGTAGCGTATAATGGGTGATGAAACAAGTAGCATATAATGTATAATATAGAACAAAAAACAATTGATTAAAATATTATAATGACGCTAAAAAAATCAAGACGTACGGAACATAATTTTCTTTCATTCAGTAAAGTATTACGAGGATCTTTAATAATAAGAATATTCGGTAAAGGTCTAGATGATGGCCCCCACCCCCAAAGGGATGGGGTGGGGTGGGGGATCAAAAGAGGGTGGTCACCTGAGTAAAACCCCATAAAATATTTGCGGCGGTCTCACCCTCATAAAAAGTTATGGGAGTTGAAAGTTGATTATTTTGACAATTTTCATACAGTAAAATTCAAATAAAAATCAATAAAATAATTATTTTCAAGCAGGAGGAAGTGGGGGATCGAAAGAAGGTGGTCACTTGAACAAAACCCAATAACCTAACCTAACCTACCCTATTGATAAAGGTATTTAAATAATGTTTTATTTTTTCTTTACTTTCTCAATATTTTTATGTATTTTCCATTAGTTTTACCTTTGAATATTGTTTAAGAATGACTATATAAATATTTACATGCCTAGAAATGTAGAAAAATTGGCATATTTATTAACTTTGAACCCATAACTTCTTATGGTACAGTGGTGGGGGAGACCTCCTCATTATCTAGACCTTTACCGAATATTCCTATTTTTTACTACTTAAAAGGTTTGAAACTCCTTTTTGTTAAACAGCTTTAATATGTTCTGAAAACAATTTTGAAGCAGCCGGATAGCCAGCAAAACCACTACGGTTAATGGTTCATGTTTTTATTTAGGTGGACTTTCTATTAAATAACACCCTCACCAACATTCCAAACCACATTCAAGAAGTCGTTTAAATACTAAGCCAATGAAATTTTAATTCTTGATTGGCGTATTTTTATTGTGGGGGTTGAATTGAAGCCGTTGAAACGGGACTCTTATGTTTATAAATACTAAAAGTCTATAAGCTGACAATATCATACTAATACTAATAAGTTATCATCAATCAAAACAAGATACACCAACAGTACCAGATCCAAACCGAGTACCCGACCTACCTCTGTTATCAATACTTTCTAGGTCCAGTAAATAAAATAAAAAGAACAAGAATATACCCGATGCAGCTTTGATACTCTTAATTCCTCTAGAGTCAGAGATCAGCATTTGTGACCCTAATCGAGTAATGCCTACTATGTATATATAAATAAGTATATCAAATTACAATTTTATAAATTTTAAAGTACCTCCTAAACTAACAACAACCGTTTGTACTTGTTTTGGGACCCTCCTTTCGTAAACAAAAAATTTAATAAACTGTAGTTGACGTACTAACGGATTTTTATATTTTTAAAATTGTTTGATAACTGAAGAAATACTAAAAAAGTAAAAAATTGTTATCAAAGTCTCGGTATATTGAAACGTTTTGGCAAAATTTAATTTGAACAAGCAAAAAAGAAAACAGCTTCATTAGCTTTTATTGTATGTTGAATTCCTTACAATGTACAAGGACTGTATCTAATAATACATAAACGCGTTATACTTATTTAGTAAAATATTAAATCCTTTTGAAGTATACATCTATCTAATTTTAATTAATGAATCCTTAGAAACGATGAATATGCTTACGAGACTATTTAAAATTCCAATGATAATTATAATAAAAAGAATACAAGCATCACGCGGCTATTATCTACGCATAATTTTAACCTCTTATATACATATATAACCATATCAAGTCAAGAAAGTTCAATTAATTTATTTTTAATTTTAATTTTGCCAAAAATGACCTTGGCGTTGTATTTTTAGGAACAGAAACAAAAATTATCGAAAAATATAAATGGACGTACAACACACAATATATTTAGAAACTCTTGCAGATAAATATCTACTTTTACGAAATAACAATGTTATTCTTACCTTCACGAACCAAAAATCAAATGTAAAGGGTGATGTTTTACCTGAAACAAAAAAATCATTGAAATATTTTTTTCACTAGAGTGTATAATATTAACAAAAAAAATATTTGCAAAACAGCAAAAGAAGCGGTTGGGTCAGGTTCCAGTAGAAAAAGACAACACGAACGAAGTACTTATATTATCTGACATTATAATCTGAAAGGGTAAGGATTATTAGATATGAGATAAACAATCAGAATTTTCTTCAATTCGAACATAACTAGTTGCATTTAGGAGGTTCGAGTTAAGAATGTTTGACAATATTCAGGCGCGTATATAAAAGATTTAATCTATTTTTAAAAATTTTGAAACAAGGTTATAAGGTCATTACTACTTCTTTACCAGGATGGTTATTAACTCATTGTTAATAAGAAATGTATATTTTTTAAACCTTGACAATACTATCTTGAAGGTCGAAAATTGTTAATAATTTACATGATACTATCAAGGAACTCATGTAATAGGGTAAATTTTACTATTACTTCTTAATTTAATCGATTTCTCAAGTATATATTTTAACTGATGTTTTGGTTTCGTTATATAATTATAATGTAGTGCCTTTAGNTATAATAAAAAGGCAGAGAACTTATTAGCCTGTTGTTTTCAATCATTTTTTTTTTATTGTAGAAGTCCAAACAGAGAATCTAATTTTTCTCTTTTGTACTTCCTAAATAGATTCATATTTCATCTCTTTATTGCATCATAATCAGAAGGAATATAGCTAAAGTTAGTTCTTGAAACAATGTGGCATTCTTTAAAATAAATTTAATAAACAAAGCTTTTTTTAATCCCTAATCCTTTCTCGTAAATTTTTGGATGTATATGCTGACATAAAGTTTTCTCTAATTATCATATATTGTATTATGTACCATAAACAGTTTAATTTTAGAATTACATCTTCGTTGCAGAATATATTGCGTAAAAGTGGCTAATGCAAATATCGTTTTCCTTGCAATTAAAGCTAAAAATAGAAAATATTTTATTATAAAACGGTTTATCTTGTTGATTGTTGTGGATTCGAGGAAAAGTGCATACAACTTGTGTATAAATTATACCGCAGAAGACGCTCTCTTCAATTATACTTTAACGATGCGTCAAGCGCGAAACCTTCAACTGCATCAATACTAAAACTACTATAAATTAAGATTTATTTCCTTGTGTGTACTTTCCTGCTTTACTATTGTATATTGCTTGAAAAGTGCAATACCTAGAAGAGATTAGACGATTTAAACGTTAACATTTTTTCTTTTCTATTGCAGGCTATCCTTCAGAATTATTTTACCGAGGTGCACCAATGTGGGAGACATTATATGGCATGATCCTCGCATATCCCATTGTTTGCTACGTGTTTATTCCTGTTTATTATAGTTTAGGCATCACGTCAGTTTATCAATATTTGGATTTACGATTTAAGTCGCGATTGGTACGATGCCTTGCTTGTGCCACCTACGTCTTAAGACAAATATTTAATCAGGGCATCACCGTTTATACGCCATGTGTAGCTTTGTACACCATCATTGGGATTCCATACTGGGCTTCCATTCTGGGAATTACGCTCATCAGCATTTTCTTCACATTACTGGTGAGTTTATAATTAAGGCAGTTGAGATAATAACTTAATAAAAGAAATTCAGTAAATCACATTATTAGCATTTCGAAAGAACACTGAAGATGTCAACAGAAAAGACTATCGAAACTCAAAACTAGCTTTTTTACTAATGCAGTAAAAAATATTCTTTTATCCATTCGCTTTATGTGTAGGTACATGTGATCATTGGAAGATAATATCAGAAATAAGGGCGCACCTTCTCATTACTAAATTTACTTACTCATTATCTGAGTAAAAGTTTCACCCCCATTTTTCTTTCAACAAATATTTGTTGAAAAGCAATAACATTTTAAACAATTCTGCAATTTTAATCGATAAATTTTCCTCCCATTGTTAATATTCTCCGTTATTTATCGATTTTCTTTCATTCGCAATTAGTTATAAGCAGTATTGGTCTTGCAGTCTTAATCTTGGTCTTACAAAAATAAAAGACCAATACTAGGACCATTGTCTTTATGCTAGCGAGACCAAGACTGAACGAACAAGACCAAGACTAAAACCAAAACCGAATATACAAGACCGAGATAAAATACGCAAAACCAAACGAAAAATGATTACTTCTGGTAGATTTATAAGTTTAACTAATTGAAGTAACTGTAATATGTTCTTTTCTTGGAACAAAACATTTTTAGTATTTGAAATTTTCAGTTTATTTTAGTAGATTTTAACACTAAATATAAGAAAAAGACACTTAACCACTGTTTGGAGAAGGGGATCTACAAGAATGTCCTCGGGGTATATGTTCTTTGTTGTCTGGATACCCGAGATAAAAATGTTCAGTCCCGAGTCTCCGTCTCTCATCGAGTCTCTCTGGTGTCGCTGAGAGAAACTGTCGAGAGACTGTCAAAAAAACTGCTTAGCATCTCTGAACGACAGACTTGAGTCGCTCATATATGTAGAGAGATTCTCATTTCGTATCCAGTCTCTGAATGAGAGACTCGAATCTCTGAACGAGAGACTCGAATCTCTCAATAAGAGGTGTCTCGATAGACATGGTTAGGTTAAAATTTTTTAAGTTCAACATATTTTAGAGATCCCAGTCTTTCTACTAGAGACTCGAGTCTCTCAATTTTTCAATTTTATTCATTCAGTCAGAGAGAGTCAAATGTCTAAATTAACAATTTTATCGTTCGAGTCTCTCATACAGAGACTGTGAGAGATCCATAAAAACACCTAGGCAATAACTGAGAGACTGTGAAAGACTGTGAGAGACGCTCTTAGAGATGCTAAAAGATGCTGAAAGACTCTGACAGACTGAAAATTTTTGTCTAGGGTAACACGTGATTAAAATATGGGGAAAACCTAATTTTTTTTCTATATTTTTACTAATAAAATAATTCGAAGTGATCTGTATTCTGTCGAAACTGCCATTAGATCTCAGCGCGTCGCAGGCAGCTCCGACAGAGCACAGACCAACTTTTACCTGCTGTCTTAACAGTGCGTTTTGTAAAATACTACAAATGATCCGCGTCTGGCAGTTTCGACAGAATACAGACCACTTCGAATAGCCAAGGCTAGAAGTATTTGAGTAAGACCAAACTGAGGCCAAGACCTAATAAGAAAGACCAAGACCAATACCAAGACTAGGACAGTCTTGATCTTGCTTTGCACTATTCGCAATGCGTACTCAAGTGTGATTAATGGTGATAGAAGTAAATTATCTAAATCAAACTAGCATATGAAAACTATAAAAACCTTTCAAAGCAATTGTTCCTTTCTACCCTTTAATTTTAAACATATTCAGCACGGAGTTTGGTTGGTAGCTACATGACATGCTTTTAAAAATAAAATTGTTTTTGTCAATCAAGATTATGTAGTGTCACAATTTGTAGGACAATTTATTTTCAATTATTTATTTTCTATATTAGACAAGAAATAATAGGCCCAATATTTTGCATTAACTATAATTCAACGTCAAAAGTGATCTGTATCTGCACCTACGTCATTTTGGAAATTGACGCTTCTCATTGTCAATCGTTTATGTATGTAATTATACATGTTTACGTGCTGTTGCTGTATGCTGTACATACCATAATTATAGTAAATGATTGTAAAATTACATTTATTAAGAATTATACGTCAATGACGATATTTGAAATTTACTACGTGTCTGTATGCTGCTTTATATCAACAGCAAATAAACAAATTAAGTAATTATTTCGGAAGTACCATAATATTATTATTTACTTCCTAACATCTCACGAAGGTATTTATAAAGTTTACAGAATCTCGGAAAATGTTTGCTTTTGATAAGTTTATCTGGTTGTGTACAAACGCTCTTTAAATATTTACCATTTCTTATTTAACATGAAAGCCAGACGTAAAAAGAATAAAGACGTCTTACACTTGATAATTATTTACAATGAGTAACAATAGTAAACATAAGAGATTAATTAGTATGTATATTAATAAAACAAATTTAAAAATTTAATTGTAGGTATTAAAGAAGTATGAACTTGTTAGAACAATTATAAAAATCTATTGAACAACTCAAAATTTCTTTTATGCTTTAACCATCTAGTATGTGCATTTACTACTAAAGCAGGTAAAATAAGGTCATTATACGCATATGATTTTCCCAAAAATTTACCAGCAGAAAACACCTTAAGACCTCTTACACACTAGGCCAGTTGTGACTGCAGTGGACTATTCTGGTCGCAAGCCGCTTGAAGTGGCGGTAGCCACTCGTTTTGCGTCCCTAACTTGATACCAACTGTTTGAACTGTGGGGTTCTATTCCGATCCAATACAACTCCTTTTGGTTTTTCCAAATTTTTTTTGGGTAAAACAATGTGACACAACTGATCGAACTCCGAATAAACTCGATTTACGAGTATAGTAATGTAGGTTTTACCCGCGGGTTCCTTCTCGTTGATGTCCTATATACGTATCATCGACGACCACATAAAACTAATTTTTCTATCCATCGGAAATAGTACTTTTTTCTGTATAAAAGGTACCCTTTGTCATTGTCATACGTTTTGCCCGCGGCTTTGCTTCCGTTGATGTCCTAGATGTGTCTTAAAGAACACCGACTGCAACATAAAACTAATTTGTGTATCCCTCGTAAACAAATAAACTCACATTTGCATTTGTAATATTTTTTAGGGTACCGTCTATTTATGAAAGAATCAACACTTTCTTGGATATACTCCTCTATATAGATTATATGCATAATTATTGAATTATGATTGAATATTGTCAAATTTGATGGAGCAAATTAATCCTTTTGTTAAATTTGCGATTTCAATTTCTTGCTGTTGTACAGCAGAAGATGAAAGTGCGCATTTAATAAATAATTCGTTAATTATCGTACCTTGTTTTGATCATGTAACCCGATAATAATAAGTCATACAAAAAAAATGAGAAAAAAACATTTTTTTGTAAATAATTATTTACAAAAACTATAAGACAAATCTATTTTTGAGATAGTAAATATCAAACGATATGAACAAGAGGAATTGTTGTGTCAGATTTTGTTATGTATTTGTTACAGTATTTTTCTTTAAACACGTGTTTTTATTTGTTAATAACACAAGTTTTGGCGCCTAATAATCACAAACACCTGTAATTCAAATAACGTATTTGTTTTAATTTTCGGCAAAGTTAAACATGCACTCAATTTGAAAACAACTTCTGTTTTCCAAAGGACACCACTAATATTTGTCGAAGGATTAAATTGTTTCATAAGAAAGATGAACAGCTCTAATTAAACAGAAAATAAAAAAGGTTTAATAACCTTGTGTATTTTTTGCAATGACATACTTTTCATAATTCCGTTTTATTTGTAAATACTTTATTGTTTTACAATATATAGACCAAATCATTTAAAAATTTGCATGACCTTAACATACTCGCAGTTCACATTATCAAGTGACAATGATACTTGTGTTAATAATTGTTTTTAAATCTTTACAGGGTGGACTGAAAGCAGCAATCCTGGCTGACGTTATGCAAGGCATTACGATAATTGCAATTAGTGTACTTTTTATAATCCAAGGAACCATAAATGCTGGCGGAGTATACAACGTATTTAAAACAAATATTGAAGGAGGTCGATTGAACTTTTTCAAGTGAGTCAACAAAATTTTTTAATTATTTTGCATAAATAGTAGAGATTACCGGATAGACATATTGCCGGACACCGGATAACCGGTAACCTAAAAAGTGTCGGATCCGCCAGGTACCATATCCAAACCGGGTACTCGGCTCATCTCTAATAAATAGTTCTAGAGTGATTCAAATTTCTCTTTTTGTTTCTTCTTTCAAACAGGTTTAGTTGTTGAAAGCATATGTTAGAACTGTGTTCCAAGGAAATCTTATACGTTGGTAACTCACTGAACCTTTTAGTTTTCTATTAATGTGAAAATTCATTTTAATTTTCTCCCGCTATAAACTACCTCAGATTAATGAGGGAAAATTTGTTGCTGTTGTCACACCCTCCCGCCGGGAATCGAACCCGGGATCTTTGGCTTTAAGTAAAAGCTTTAATGGTCTGACCACTAAGCTACGAAATTTTCCTTCATTATAGTGGGTAAAAAAAATGAAAATTAATTTTCACATTAATATTTGATATTGACCACTATTAAATGTCGAAGCGTTTTATACTTTTAGTTTTCCATAAGAAAAGTATAGACTTTTTCGTTTATATCTCGTTAACAAAAAGCTTAAGACAAACGGGGCCAAGTCTATTTACTTCCTAACATCTCACGAAGGTATTTATAAAGTTTACAGAATCTCGGAAAATGTTTGCTTTTGATAAGTTTATCTGGTTGTGTACAAACGCTCTTTAAATATTTACCATTTCTTATTTAACATGAAAGCCAGACGTAAAAAGAATAAAGACGTCTTACACTTGATAATTATTTACAATGAGTAACAATAGTAAACATAAGAGATTAATTAGTATGTATATTAATAAAACAAATTTAAAAATTTAATTGTAGGTATTAAAGAAGTATGAACTTGTTAGAACAATTATAAAAATCTATTGAACAACTCAAAATTNATTCTTTTCCACTTTTTTTTTTGGAAATGTTAAGTCTAAAAAACTACCAGTAAATATAAGCTCCCCTTGAACCAGAAGTCTTATCATATGTATTTGCAACTATAATCCTGTTTAGAAAAAAAAAATGATAAAAGTTAGCCACTGTATTAAATACATATGTACCTACTTCTGTACACAAATGCAGACAGCTTTTTTTTATTACCTACAATCTACGACTAATTATAGGGTAAACAAATAAGACACACAACTGATGATGTTATTATCTAATGGAAATTTTTTTCCTTGGCACTACATGGATTGTTTTAATTTCTGTTTAAATATCGTTTATCTTTTATCATAATTAAATTTTAAGTGTATTACCTTTAATTATGTATATGTATAGTTCCGTAAGTGACAAATCATAAAAGTATGCGTGGTAATTTAAATAATTTCTACATTTTGATTTCCGAATTTAAAAATGCTCCTAAAGGAAATTTTTTTATTAATGATCTTTTACTTACAGTTTCTATTTATTTATTGATTATATTTCATTATTGCTATGACCCAAATTTATTTTAAATGCTGCAATAAATTTGAAGTGATTAGGTGATTAGAAGGTTATCGGGAAATAGAACAGTATAAAAAATATACCTTTGTAAAGGGTCAAGCGTTACGGTCATGATACGTACTAAGAGAGGTCAAAAATTTAAAAACTTTGTATTACTAAGAACAATAAAGGATCAGCATTGTGATAACATATGTATATAGCTCTTCTAAAGTACCTGAGATAAAAATGGTCAAGTATCTCAGAGTATCTGAAAGCGAGACGCGAGTCTCCGTCTCTCATCGAGTCTCTCTGGTGCCGCTAAGAGACACTGTCGAGAGACTGTCAAAAAAACTGCTTAGCGTCTCTGAACGAGAGACTCGAGTCGCTCATAGAGAGATCCTCATTTCGTATCCAGTCTCTGAACGAGAGACTCGAATCTTTCAACTAAAGACTCGAATCTCTCAATAAGTGATGTCTCGATAGACATGGTTAAATGTTCAACATATTTCAGAGATCCCAGTCTTTCTACGAGAGACTCGAGTCTCTCAATTTTTCAGTTTTATTCATACAGTCAGAGAGAGTCAAATGTCTAAATTAACAATTTTATCGTTCGAGTCTCTCATACAGAAAGTGTGAGAGATCCATAAAAACACCTAGGTAATAACTGAGAGACTGTGAAAGACTGTGAGAGACGCTCTCAGAGATTCTGAAAAACTCTGAAAGACTCTGAGAGACTGAAAATTTTTGTGTAGGGTAATTAAATCGATAAAATCATTTTCTTTTGTACCGAGTAATCAATAGAAACAATATAATGGTCTAATCCTAATAACACGATTTTACATATTTTATAAAAAATCTGTTGAACTTTACACCTTTTTAAGAAACAAGATTCTTTTGAAAAAAGCCGCACATAAATACACACGTACCTAAATGAAGTTCAGTAACTTCTTTATGAAGCAATTATATCTTTTTATTAGTAGAATTACCTTAAAGTATTTGATTGTCATGACCTCGACTTGATGAAAATTTGTTTTCAGTGGTATATTATTGTAAAGTAAATCATGTAATTTTTCACAACCTTTATTGATTATCTACCCAAGAAATGTTCCGTCAAGCATTAGCTCTATCAGACGTGCGATTTGGTAATATAATCCTTGATTTATTAGCATAAGCTGATATGTTGCTTTATTTAGTTAATTTTAATTTGTTGAATCATTTTTTTATTTCGTTTGTCCTGTGAAATATCTAAAAATTATTTATCGTTAAAACGGTGGTTTCCTTAAATAAATGTGTAGAAAATATTTAAACCAAGAATCTGCGGTCCAGGATCGTACCTTAGTATTTATAAGGATATTCCATCCCTCCTGGCCTAATTCAAGCATCTAAGTCGTTTCTATGGGACATTTAGAGAAATGGTGAAACAATATTAATTCCACTCCTCTTTTTATTATCATTTTATCCATTTCATCTACCTTTCCTCCCTCCTGAACTTTAAAACTATGCTAAAAAAGGGCTTTCCACTCCTAAAGGACTTTCCACTCCTAAAGGGCTTTCCACTCCTAATATTGACATGTAAGTCGGAGTTACTGCCCGCCTCCCAACATTAGTAGCTGGTAAAAATAAAATACGGATTTTTTTAGATATATCATATGATTAGGTACCAAGAAGCTAAAATTTATCAAAACAATTGTTGCGTAGGTAGTCTCAATAAAGTTAATGAAAATTTTTACGTAACTTTCATTTTATATAAACTCGTATACATAAATATTACGTATTTATTTTAATATGTATTAATTTAAATTAAATACCCATTTTAGGCGTATATATTTTAATAATTTTTAATTTAATTTGAACATCAATTCATTTCTCTTGGTATTAATATATTTATAGGTATTAATTACAGTGTAGTTTTAATGTTTATTATCAAGTAGTTTTTCATTTTTAAAGTTATTTGAAATTCTCAATTTACATAAATTTGATTTAATAAGTATGCGTTGATTAATCTAAGATTATAATTTACAATTTAATTCGTTTTTTATGTAGTAAAATATTGTTACAGCTGGTCTCTCGATCCGACGATTCGAGTGACAACACTTTCTGCTACAATCGGACAATTATTCATGTCTCTTTCTATACTCGGCTGTCAACAGAATTTCGTACAGAGATACTGCAGTATGGAATCCCAGAAAAAAATAACCAAGTAAGTCAAGGTGTTGTAATTGCAACGCGTTATTTACATTTGTTTGTTGAATGTATAAACGAATGAGAAATTTAGTTTTACTTATTCGAGAAAAGTAAAATATTTACCGAAGATAGTATTAAAAAAAAACAATTGCATGAGCGGGGACGGTATACAATTTAAGGGCACCTAAGTGTAATAGAACACAACACGTGTGCGTATGAAACATTCAACGGTTTTTAAAATGAAACTTTACAGTTACATCCAAGAGATCCAATAGTAAGTAATGGATTCTCTAATGAATTCGGGTTGGAGATTTTCTAATTTTTTCAACTCTACAGTCTACATATGTACCTACATAATCAGCCGTTCTTTTTTTTTTAAGCACAGACGAATGTATCTACACAAAATGTGTCAGAGAAGTTATTAAACGTCTTATTCATAACTTCATGGGATTTAACGTTCAAAAGTATTATGTCCTAACGGAGATTAAATTAAGTAACCGGTTCTTAATGTGCCTCTAACGATTAGTACTTTCTTCTTTTTTTATTAGCAAGTGTTACAAGTGTGAGGATATTTAACCCCACAGGCATTACGAAATGTAATTCATTCGTCAGTTTTTGTTAATAATTATCTGATTGTAACTGAACAATAACACTGTAATCATAAGGTTACAAGGTAAATTAAAGTTTAACTTCGCAAATTAATAATTATTGTTTGCTACACTATGATGAATAACAATGACCGGTGAAAAATATTTATTATTATTCGCCCATTTCTCAAAATTTGTAGGTAGTACATATTTTTTTATATTTTGTTACAACACGATCGTGAAGTAAGCAAGCAAATATTTATAGTAAATATCCAGCTAAAAATAAAAGTCTTCAACTTAAAAATCGCAATAATTAATACTTTTTATAAATATGAATATGCAGATGTATATAAAATTAAAAAAAAATACAACGTGTAATTATACAACACGCTACTGAAGTGAAACTTCTTCAAACACACAAACATACCGGGATAAGGGTTAAGGGATTACTTTAATGGTATTATTTGTACACTATGCTTCGTACGGTTGCAATGCTGATAGTAAATATACTATAGAATGTCTTTATATACAACAATCACAGCTTTTTTGTCATTAGACAATACGAACCGGCCAGTACCATCGCAACCGCTATGTCCCTGCGTTTTAAGTCTGTAATATCTTCGAAAATATTCATTTAAATTACATGTTGTATTCATATTCATCTATATTAAATGCACAATGTATTTAAAAGTACTTAATTTGATAAGGATTAATGCTGTATTGCTTAAAATCGCTTCATATATAAGCCATTATTTCTCGTAAAAAGTAAAGGATAAAAAATGGTTATTGTGGGTTATCCCTAAGAGATTGACATATACCATCGGGGACTTTTTTGTAGGCCTTTTTAAGGCGTACAATACTGTAGTATATTATCTTGATCTATCTCGTAGGGTTCAGCCAGCGTTTGCAATGTAAGCGCAAAAAAATGTGTTTATTTACGACATCACATTACAAACCTCTAGAATTATCAGTATTTCTCTACTATATCATGCATGTATTATACATATAAACCTTCCTTTTGAATTACTCTATCTGTTAAAAAAGAACGCATTAAAATCCGTTGCGTAGTTTTAAAGATCTAAGCATACATAGGGACAGACAGCGGGGGAAATGCGTTGCATGATTTCGTTACATAGCAACTCGCATGAAACGAACTTACCCTACCGTGCGTGAAGAAGTTTCACCTCAAAAATTATAAGGGTGTACGCTGTGAAAAACTATAAAAATGGCAGTGTAGTTGATAATATTTAATATAATATCATATGGAATTACCTATAATAAAATATANTAATTTTTGTTATTTTTACTTTGCCAGAGAAATTTTCGTTATTTTACTTTAAGCACAAAACAGCCCTTAGTCTAAATAAAGTGTGAGCGAAAGTTAAAATTTAAGTTGAAAATATTATTCAATTGAATTACACAAACCAAATATAAATATTAAACAAATCCATTGTACACGTGCTTATATATTTATTTAATTGTCGGGGCGCTACGGGCACGCAAAATGGTGGCGGCGCTACGGGCATGGCGCTACAGGCACTCACTCTTTATTTTATTTATAATATCGAATAACATCCAAATATTACTTTCATTTTAAGTTGCTCTTATCCCCACAGCGCAGATGATACCCCAGCGACCTCTTCTTTTGGAAAAATATTTGTTTACACGGAATTCGTGCTACTTGTATAGTCTCTAGGGTTCTGATTGTGTTTATTTTTTCCAGAACCCTTATGTTGAATATCCCAGTGATTACGATCCTCTTCAGCATCTCTTGGTTAGTTGGAATGGTTATTTATGCTGTATATGCCAGTTGCGATCCTCTATCGGCGGGATATACCGATAAATACGACGAAGTCCTTCCCTTTTTCGTAGAGGATAAATTCAATTATTTCCCCGGAATATTGGGGCTTTTTATAGCTTCATTGTTCAACAGTTCCTTAACGTATGGAAAAAAAGCATATTGTACACGAACAATATGTAATTTTTGTTTTTCTTTTAGTCTCAACGTTTCGATTTTGAACTCGTTGGCTACATGTACGTTTGAGGACTTCATCAAACCTCTTCCATGGCTGAAGGGAATGAGTGAAAAAAATCAACTGTATTCCATCAAAGCCACAGCTGTTGTTATTGGCTTCCTAATCATGGGAATAAGCTTTGGAGTCGGTCTTTTTTCGGGCGTCATTGAATCATCAATGTTGGTAACGTCAGCAACGTCGGGACCCCTACTAGGTGTCTTTATCCTGGCAATGTTAGTTCCTTGTTGCAACTGGAAGGTACGAATCCTTTAAGCGCGTTCGATTATTGTTCTCTAAATTTCTTTCTGCACAAATTTAGGGAGCCGCCTCTGGAGTGATAATGGGTCATATGATAACATTATGGATTTTAATTGGAGGATTGACAATCGAAAAACCACCCACGAAACTTCTCCCCGTCAGTACAGATGGTTGTACGAATGAAACGTTTAGTCAAGCTATTTCAAAGATCCACATAGAGCCCATGACTACAATCTTACCTGTTACTGAATCAATCATTGTCAATAATACTGCTGATCTATTTGAAACGTTCACTACCAGAGCTGAATCAATGTAAGTCATGAGTGTTTCTGTGCGCTTTTAATTTAATTTTACCGGTAGTATTTAAATGTAAAACAAAAATACTGGTATGCAAGGGAAGGAAAAGTAGGGAAAGAGCGAATATAAAGATAGGAGAAGTGACCGATTGAGGTATCTAGGAAGTCAGATAAGTCAGGACGAAAGGAGTAGCAGATAGGGATATAAAGCAAAGGATAGCGCACGGTCGAGTCGTCTTCATTAAAACGAAGTCACTTCTATGCTCGAGAAGGATTAATTTGGAAATTCCAAAGGCCGAATTAACATGCCATCATTTCAAATAGTATTCATTCTATTCGTGTAGGTTTCCTCAAAATCATATCTTTAACTGTTTTAGTTTTTTTATCCCTAGGGAAAAGGTAATTCTATGTCCTTTGTTGTACCCCTAACAATGTCTGTACAAAATTTCATGATGATCGACCGAGTAGTTAAGGTGTAAAAGCCTAACAAACAAACAAACAAACTCATATTATCGTTTATTATATTCGTTAGGCAGTTAAGAAAATGTATGTGGCATATCTATAGTTGGGACGTTTCAAATTGGCATAGTCCGCAATAAAACTGTCTCATTTACTTTCTTCTTGCAACTTCAAACTACTCACGACACAAGTGACGGAGACTGATAAAAAAAAGGAATAGCATTGGGCCAATTGATGTGTAACAGAAAGAGATGTAAACGAGCAGAATTCAGGCATGTTGCCAGCGTCGAACTTAAAGGAAATTTTAACGTTCTCAGGAATTTAGGAAAGCAAAAGCTTATTTAATGATATAATTCCAACCCGGCTTTATAACTGCCCACACATGACGGAGACTGATAAAAAAAAGGAATAGCATTGGGCCAGTTGATGTGTAACAGAAAGAGATGTAAACGAGCAGAATTCGGGCATGTTGCCAGGATCGAACTTAAAGGAAATTTTACCGTTCTCAGGAATTTAGGAAAGCAAAAGCTTATTTAAAGCTATAATTCCAACCAGGCAGTTATAAAGCCGGCCCTGATCTTTCGGGTACCTAAACAACCTCTAACCTCTGCACCGCTTACCAATTATTCGGTTATCTCTTTTTACTTTGTTTGCACTACTCATGAAGCATTTTCTAATTTAACAAGGGCGTGTTTAAAATCAAATGACTACAGTCCCAAGTAGAAACAAGAAAAAAAATACATTCATTTTCACAGATAATTTATTGCGAACTTTGCCAATTTTAATCGTCCCTACTATGCATCTGTTAACTATTAGAGAAATTCGTGCAATTATTTTGAACAAAATTTGCAAATAATGTTATTGTTAAATAAAAAAATAGAATCCGAAAAAAAATATAAGGACGTTTGAAGACGGTTTTTCATAATTTATCGTCGTTCTTACTTGTACATATTTAAATCTCTCCAGTTACATATTATATTTTAAAATGAATCATCATACTTTTCCTTGTTAAGGAAAATAAAATAATTAAATGATTTTTCAAATAATTTACTAGCTTATCATTAGAAAACAACATATAAATATTAATGCTGCTAAATGATAATGATCGATAATTTTTGAAAAATAAATCATGTTTATTTTATTTCAGTGATCCTTTGACGTATTTGTATTCGACAACCTACATGTATTATTCCGCTATCGGATGCTTTGTTACGTTATTCGTGGGAATAACAGTTTCCTGCGTCACAGGATTAAGCAAGGACGAAATCTATGACGACAACCTTATCCATCCCATAGCGCGAAAGATAGCGAGCTGGTTCCCAGGACAAAAGCGACTCTACTCGGAAAAATACAAGAACGTGGACGACAATCGATCTCTAGGAAACGGTTTTACCCTGACTCTGCAGGACGAAATAAAGAAAAACGGCAAGCTCAATCCTACTTTCACCGATTGTCGTAAGAGGGACTCAATAGAATCTTTGCCGAGCCCCGGGAAGAGCGACAAGGATAACAGCAAGGATTCCGAGCACACACCGAGCCCGGGATCAGCCGGAAGCTCGAACTTAGCATTCGAAGCTGACAACGAAGTGACGAAAACGAGATTGTGATGTGGGATTTTCAGAACACACCTGATGTTTCAAGTAACTTCTGTGATTTTTAGGTGTAGGACCGCGAAAGACTTCCAATATAAACTTTTATGCCGATTTAGCGCAGTGAATTTTTGTAGGTAGTGGTTTGCGCATTGTTATTTTGAACATTTTTTTATGCAATGATTAGTTTATAATTGCGATTATAATACTTATTATTGTTTGTATACGTAAAATTAAGGTGCTTATATTATACATATTTACATTGTCGGGCAGCTGAACGAATGCTGTTTAACGAAATGTATTTAATTAATTTATCCTTTTAATTAATGACATACTTGCCTCAACTTAATTTTTTGATAAAAAATATACTTATTATTTATTTTAGAATAAACTTCAACTTCAGAAATTGATATAATCATTGGTTTGAAAAGAATTAGTCGACGATCTGTTTGAACCTGAGAGGTGTCCACTTTTTCTTTTTCTTATAATACTTACACGAACTTTAGTCTTATTTTGTGTGCGTCTTTTTCGTTTTTAGTTAAAAATTATACAATATTTCTTACGAGTTTTCATGTTACATAGGTAATTGTTTTTGCCCTATTTGTTATTGTAATGATAATGATGTATGTTTATACATACAGCGAGCGTGTACTTAAAGTAATTATAATTTACAGGCTCCATTTACATTAAATGTTTCTATCGAGTCACAATGGCTTCGAATAAACGTAGGAAATTGCAGTTTTATTTCAGTGTTAGTGCATACACTCCGTTCACATTCAAGATAGACTGAATATAAACACAACCACACACTGTATATACACGTGGTCCTCGAAAACCAAAACAATGAACAGGACCGCATTTAAAAAAAAGAACACCGAAATAAACATGTTATAATATATTAAAAATTTTTATATTTTTGAAATCCATTACTTACCTGTTATATATACACATACATCGTTGAACAAAATAATTCGAAGTGGTCTGTATTCTGTCGAAACTGCCAGACGCGGATCGCGATTTCCATCTTTTTGGATCTCATCAGCGCGTCGCAGGCAGCTCCGACAGAAAACAGACCAACCTTTACCTGCTGTCTTAACAGCGCGTTTTCGAAAATAAAAAAAATAAAAACAAAATATTTTGTTCGATTATGGTAACGTGCCTATCACGTTGAGGTGAGCTACGCCGGGATTAGTTTCAACAAGTAGATATCCATATTTTTAAATGGACCTTGTTGGAGCATACGTAATCCTCAAATGTAGCATCGTACTACATATGGCGTTCACCACGCCATTTGTGCTATTTTCGACATACATCGTTATTTTTTTAAGTTAAAATTAAAGTAGTTGCTATATTCAATTCAGTTTATTGTTTCTTAAAGTTTATCACAGTCTAAAGAAAGAGTTAATATCGAAATAATTTCATCAATAAAAACCGAGTATTATCCTTATACGAAAACGATTATTAAAGATGTATGTTTGGAGTACGGCTCTGGCTGAGAAAGAGAAAGTTACAATTTTTTGAAATGTGGGCAGAAAAGGTTGGAAATGAAAACGTATTAGAATGCTTTTCAAGCTTTAATTACTCAAGCGATCATTATGAAATTTTATACACACATTGTCAGGGGTACAGAAATGCACATAGTGTACCTTTTATCCAGAAAAAGTAATGTACCCCGAGGGATCATCAAAAGATCATCAGTCTTAAGATTGGGTGGACACGCACCTCCACTTTTTCCTATCCTGAGGTAATCTTCGCATTTCTTTAAAACTAGAACAACCCCATTCTTAACTATTTGCGAACAGTAACCGAATCTAGGTCAGAAAAGGAAATAGGGTGCCTTTTACCTAGAAAAAAATACTGTTCCCGAAAAATAAAAAAATTAGTTTTATCTGGTCAATTTCACGCGTTAACTACTAGAATGATCCTCATAAAATTTTGTTGACACATTGTCATGGGTACAGAAAATGACATAGGTAATAGGGTACCTTTTATCCAGAAAGAAAATGCTGTTCCCGAGGGATAGTAGTGTATAGTTAGAAGCAGAAGTAGGAGAGGCAAGGGTAGACACAGGTTACATTATTGTTTGCACATAGAGATGTAGCTGCTCTAGTTTTCGAAAAATGAGAAAATTAACTTATTAGGAAGAAGTGGACGTGTGTGTCTAACCAGTCTTCGAGCTTAACATCTTATAATGTTAATGAGTGATATTCGATTCTAATGCGTTTATAATTACTTTTACTAATGTTTTTGGTGGTACAGGTGGAAACAAGTGTGCTATATTAAACAAAACCAAGGTATTGTTATCTGGTTATCTGAGGTTTGTAAAGAGGATACTTTTGAGGACTTTATACCGTTTATTATTGTTTTGACCACAAAAATGAAGCGGCTATTGTAAACAAGACCACCACAGATCTAATTGGGATTTTCTTTCTGTGATGTAATAAATGAATATTTTACCTTTTTGCAGTTGCAACAGAACATTTTTACTGACCATTACCTGTTTCGGTTCAAGAAAATTATTAAAAAGGCTCAAATGACGTTTTCGTAAAATATGGAAAATCCCTAAAAAATTATGAAAAAATAAAATATGATGCATGTAATAACTAAATGCGACCCTGTCAAATTTCGGACGGTGAGAGCATAACATTCGAATTCGAATGCATTCATTTGTTATATTTTTAAGATTACCAAAACAGAAACTTCTACTAACGTTGTTAATGAAAAAGCAAAAATTAATAGAAGAGCTACATGGATAATGACAAATTTATACCTTTATCATTTATGTTAACCACCAGAAAAAAAATGAAATAGCTTTTAATGTTATATAATTATAGAAATTCTTACCAAGAGAATTATACACAATATTACATTTATTAAAAAGTTCAGGTTTATATTTTTTATGTAAATTGCGAACAGGAAAAATAGTACCAGCACATTTCGATTTTTGAATGACTTTTTTGAGAGTCTTCACTATTGGCTGGTCTTGTTAATTTATTAAACTAGAGTACTCTTACCTTGTACGTTATAATTTTATCTTTATTTATTTGTACTTACATTACAAGTCTATATTACGCAGAAGAACGAGGGAGAGGTAAAATTAAACCTGTGAGTAAGATATTCCTTTTTTTTGCGATGTTCCTCATAATTCTAATTTACAAATATCGTAGCAAACGAATAAAGAATGTACTCTGTAATTTTCATCAAACTCTCTTCGTTAGACCACTTTGAAGTGCCCTGTCATGATTCGAAGAATGTGAATTATTATTATCTTTCAAACTATTATTTTAATGACCTTAAAACTTTGCATTTTGATTAAATTTAGTTAAAACTTCTGCAACAGTCATACAGAATAAAATTTTTGAAGTCAAACTTCTTTACGTACGGCAGGGTAAGTTCNTTCTTTACGCACGGTAGGGTAAGTTCGTTTCATGCGAGTTGCTATGTAACGAAATCATGCAACGCATTTCCCCCGCTGTCTGTCCCTATGTATGCTTAGATCTTTAAAACTACGCAACGGATTTTAATGCGGTTTTTTTTAATAGATAGAGTAATTCAAGAGGAAGGTTTATATGTATAATACATGCATAATATAGTAAAGAAATACTGATAATTTTAGAGGTTTGTAATGTGATGTCGTAAATAAACACGTTTTCTTACACTTACATTGCAAACGCTGGCTGAACCCTACGAGATAGAACAAAATAGAACTACAGTATTGTACACCTTAAAAAGGTCTACAAAAAATGTCCGCGATGGTATATGTCTATCTCTTAGGAATAACCCACAATAACCATTTTTATCGTTTACTTTTTACGAGAAATTATGGCTTATTTACGAAGCGATTTTAGGCAATACAGCATTAATCCTTATCCAATTAAGTACTTTTAAATACATTGTGCATTTAATATAGATCAATATGGCCCTTTACAGCATGTAATTCAAATGAAAATATAACAGACTTAAACTGCAGGGACATAGCGCCTGCGGGGGTACCACCGGTCGGTTTGTATTGTCTAATGACAAAAAAGCTGTGGTTGTTGTATATAAAGACATTCTATAGTATATTTACTATCAGCATTGCACCCGTTCGAAGCATAGTGTACAAATAATGCCATTAAACCAATTCCTTAACCCCTATCCCGGTATACTTATGTGTTTGAAGAAGTTTCACTTCAGTAGCGTGTTGTATAATTACACGTTGTATTTTTTTTTGTGCCTAAGTGATAGTTTTGAATAAAATTTCGTTAGTTTTTTTAAAATATCAATTTCCATTTTTGAACTGCACATTTAGGTTCGAGCTTCTATGTGGATTTGATCTTTAACATTAATAAAAATGTCATAATAATAAAAATAGATTAATTTAGCCAATTTATTACACTGTCATTGCACGTTTCTAACATTTTATTTTAAAGATGGGATCAAGTTTAATAAATATACTTATAGACAATAGAATATGTTAACTGGTTCAACTTAATCAATCAATGCAATCAACACTATCATGTCGATTCTAATAACTTCCTTGTCGTTCTTTGAATGTAGATGTAATAAGTTCGTTACCATTCTTAGCATGCAGATGTAATGGTTACATAAAGGTCGTCCCGAAACATTATCACAGTAGAAGCATATATAATTCGTCAAAGCAACACACCCATGAATTTATTCATTGCAGAAGGCACACGCCCATCAACATAGATGTCAAGGTTGTAAATGGGAAGAAACATTTACATTAAATATCATTTGTGTATATGTGTGTAGTAATCGTAAGTTTTATAATGCATTCCATAAAATTATCATCATCGTAAATCATATGGCTTTAATTTTCCTTAGAGTTTTTTCTTAGTTTTGGCATTTCCTCCATTATTTCATCAAAATTAAACAATGGCGATAGCAATATCTGGATATTTTGTTTCAAAGCATGTATGCATCCTAAATTGCATATTTCGTAAACCAATAAATATCCACAATTAAGATAAAATCAACGTCAAGACGAGCAACTTATGATATTTTCCTAAAAGAGGTTGGGCGTACTTTGAATTCTTTTTTTTAAGTCCAGGTGGCATAAGTTTGAATGTTTTGTCATTCAGTGATTGCCGAGTTTAAGTAATGTTTCAAATTAGAGTTTTACACCCGTTTTACTTTAGATTTTTATACTCTTCGTCAATTATATATAAAATCATCTAAACTAAATCTTTTAACCGTAAACTAATTACCTATTAAATACATGCTAACTTAAAATGAACACAAAATACAATATAACTTGGTTATATGTAGAGAGAATTGACGATATTTTGACGTTTTACTACATTTATTGTACTTAGGTATCTAATAAGGAAGATAAAATGTCATCAGCCTTACCTTTTAGTGCTCTAGGAATGAAACACTCACGGCCGATCAAAAACAATCTGTTCTCTCTCTTTGTTACTCCTTAAACATTCAATTTAGTAATTAAACTTCTAATCTTTTCTTTTCCACCGCGCCCACTATCCATGTTTCTCACCCGTACAGCGCCGTGCTCCAAACATACACATTTAACAACCTTTTTCGAATTTCTAAATTAACCGTTCGCGAGTACAGCAAGGACTTCTTTTTATTGAAGGCGACTCGACCCTTTGCTATCCTCTGCTTTATGTCCCTACTACTCCTTCGGTCCTGACTTATCTGACTTCCTCGATACCTAAAATCGGTCACTTCTTCTAATTTTTCGTCTCCTACCTTTATATTCACTCTTTCCCTACTTTTTATTC